AATGAAAGTGTATATATATGAACTTGTACATAATAAATATGTATATATGAAAATTAGTGTTTTAAAGCCAGTGCCTTAGAATAGCTCCGTGACACAGGCACATATGAAATGTGGCGGTTAAACATGTTAGTGGGCGCCCAACCATCCCCCTAATTTATAGTTTTAGGGGGGGGGGGGGGTTGGCGCGCCGTCAAACTAGTTTAACCTCGCCACATTCTGTATGTGCCTGTCTCAAGTCAGGAGCCTGTAATTCAGTGGTTGTTGCTGTATATCTTTTTTTTTTCATTATTTTGTACATACATCTTTAGTTAGTTTTCTCGTTTGAATTGTTTAACATTTGTCATTTCTGTGGTATGGGTTTATGGGCGTACGGTGACCTATAGTTGTTAATTTCTGTGTCATTCTAGTCCCTTGTGGAGATTTGTCTCATTGGCAATCATACCACATCTCCTTAATTCTATATTATGAAGGATTCTTAAGTAATGAAATGAAGAAAAACATAAAAAGTTCGAATAATGATTAGTGATAAGCGACACTCGATTACCCCCTCTCCCGGACATAATGTCAGCACATATCCTTTCAAAAGTTTTATTATTAGTCTGTGCACATTTTTATTATTAATCTACGGTATATATATAACACCAAGTGATAAGGTTAAGACAATTTCTGTTGTCGGTTTGGATTTCAACTGCAATAAAACAGGATTATCTTTCTTGATTTGCGAGTTCTGAATTTTAAATTTTGAATTTTGAATTATGAATGATCCTTCTCGGCTTTCGTATTAACGATAGTTTTGTTAACTTTATACGTTCAACTGTAAGATATTGTATGATTAGAAGGAATATTATTATAACTGGCAAGATGAATGATGTTTATGTTCATATTTCAAAAACATAAAATGCATAGGTTATTTGAAAAGAAATTTTTGCTAGATAATCCTCTTGTTAAAGAAGTAGACGATGATATAATAATTGAATTGTAGAAATTTGAATCTATAAATTGACTGTTTAATGTTGAAATTTATACAGAATGTTAGCTTATTTATAGACATTTCGAACTGATATAGAAACATGTGATATTGTTTTATGTATTTTAATGTGTATAATAAGATGACTTATAATGTGTATAATAAAGATTAAAAAAAAAAGAAGTTGGACTCGAAATCCAATGGGATTTCCCCGCGCAGGTTCGAGCCCTGCCCAAAGCGTTAAATTTTTTACAGCATTTAGAAACAAAAAACGATCCTTCAGGTTGTTTTTTTTGATAGTAGAATATTCTTCTTTTGAAAAAATCATTTGGCAGTTTGCTTATTTGCAACCTTTTTTCTTGATATATAACATAAGGTAGGGCTCAATATTTCCTGGTGATTTTCCTATCTCAAATATTTCTCTGTGTGTTTCAAATGATACCCCTACGCAACTTCCAACTACTAAAAAATCATACTTTTTCTCATTAAAGACTTTTTGTTACTTATTAAATTTTATTCTGTCCAGAAATACGTAAATGATTAAGAGGACAATAGTGAAAGCTGTAATGGCCGAGTGGTTACGGCGTTGGACTTAAAATCCTTTGTGGTATCCTCGCGCAGGTTCGGACCCTGTTCGGATCGTAAATATTTTACATATCTGTAATTGTGTTTAAAGGTAGTTTTTGTTTCTGTAACCAAAACAGGTTGCACCTTTCAAACCGTGATTTCGAATGAGGTGGAAAGGTTTTAACGTTCATTTGGGTCTTTTGGAAGATTTTTACTTCATCGTGTTCATTGAAGGAAAGTAACTTCAGCTTCTGTAGATGATAACTACCTTAGATTGATATTTTACTATAAGTGTAACTACTTACATGCTGTGATGGCCGAGTGGTTGAGGCATTTGACACGAAATCCAATGGGGTCTCCCCGCGCAGGTTCGAACCCTGCTCGCAGCGTAACATTTTTACATACCGGTTATAGTATTTAAAGATGGTTTTTGTTTCTGCAACCAACAAAGTTTGCACCTTTCAGAGCGTGTTTTCAACTGGGCTGGAAAGGTTTTTAACTTTCATTTGGGTTTTTTGGAAGATTTTCACTTCATCGTGTCCATTGAAGGTAAGTTACTTGAGCATCTGTAAATTTCTTACATGTTGTGATGGCCGAGTGGTTAAGGCGTCGGACTCGAAATCCAATGGGGTTTCCCGCGCAGGTTCGAACCTTGCTCGCAGCGTTAAACTTTACCAACATTTAGGAGCAGAAATAGATCTAGTTCTTTCATGTTCAGGTTGTTATATGTTTTTGTAGAATATTTTATTCTTTTGAAAAAGTCATATATGGAAGTGTTCTTATTTGTAACCTATTTTCTTAATACTAATACATGTATTTAACATGAGTAGGGCTCAATAATTCCTGGTGATTTTCCTATCTCAAATATTTTTCCGTGTGTTTCAAATGATGCAACTTCCACCTACTCTTAATCTTTCCTTTTTATAAAGGTTTTTCCTCTGTATGCTGCTTTTAGTGGCAGATCAATATTTAGAAATCGATTGTTTCAAGGGGTTAGTACCTGATTTAATGTGTCCTTGAATGTCATTTAAAAGAAATAGTTCTTAAAAGTTATGTTCTTCGAATACAAAGGAGGAACCCTCTAGTTGCTGAATTGATAAAAGATATTTATGGTTTTAGTATCTAGAAAGAAAAAAATATATTGAATAGTGATTTTTTAAATCAAATATAAGAACTCCTTTGAGGATGCCAAACCGGAAATAGTTATAAAAAAGATCACATGTGATAAATTAATTGTAACAGGTCCGGCTAATCTTTTTAAAGATGTTACATACAGATATCATTTTTTTTTTTATTGATTCTTAAGTTTCGTAGAAATATCTTGATATTTAAAGCGCATCTGTGATAAGGTGGTTGTTTGCTCGTATGAGTGCGGGATATCGTTGGCTGGTTGCACGACCGGGTCAAACCAAATACTTAAAAATATGATATTTGCGGGTTCTCAGCTGAGCTCGCAGTATTTATTGGGAAGAATAAAGACTGTAGGAATCGTTGTCAAAACACTGTGTCCGTGTATGGGGAGATTTCTTCCTGCGGACTGTTACCTTGTAAACTAGCACACATAAAAATCAAAGTGTCGGCTTAGTACAAAACAAGATTTATATTCATAGGATCTCGTCCTGCTTTACATTTAATTTGCCAATGGACGTTGAAAAGCCACCCATCATTGTCATAACCTTTTTACTTTTCAAAAATAAACAGTATCTTTTCACTATAAACAACTGCCATACAAGTGGGAGGTAGGAGCTATAAAGCCATATTTAAGTCACTATGTTCTTCAAATATAGCCTTCCGTTCCGTTGTTAATATAGTCGAGCGTTTGATTTTGTAAAGTTTTATCGACTTCTTCTTTTTAATTTACATTGGAGTTCGGTACTTTTGTTAATATTTTTTTTTAATTTCAAACTACATTGAATACATAAACCCTAAGCATCCATTACCTTTGTTTTAATGTTTGAAATTGCAAAAACTTGACAACAAACAAATACTATATACAAATCAGATAATAATATAGATTTATCTTTCCTACTAAAGTATTTTTAAACATTTACAATCTTTTAATGATTTTATCTTAACGTTTATAAATTAGTTAGGGTATGTTTGCTAAATTTGAAATCAAATTGATATCTATAATTGGATTTGTATTTTCTACTTTGCCTATTTAAGCATGATGGATATTTTTTTGATGTTATAATTATTGTACCTTTATGTGGTAAAACATTTGGTAAATGAAATGACGGTAAATAAAACGTTTGGTGAAATAGAATGACGGTAAATTAAACATTTGGTGAAATGAAATGACGGTAAATAAAACATCTGGTACATGAAATGACGGTAAATAAAACATTTGATAAATGAAATGACGGTTAATAAAACATTTGGTAAATGAAATGACGGTAGATAAAACATTTGGTGAAATGAAATAACGGTAAATATGATTAGTAGTAGTTATAAAGATAACGAAATGTGATTTTGTGAAAACATTTTGTGTTCAATCCATTTTGTCTTAAGGACGTAATTTTGGAACCATGAAATCAAATTTTTGGTAAAATGGCGTTTTCAAAGACAATCAAAACAGAATGTGCTGTCTATGGGTGAAACTGTCAGTCGTCACATCCATAAATCATTTCTAAAAACATGTAGTATGATATATTATTTTGTTTTCTATTTTGGCGTAGTATACGTATTTTGGGTCAGATTCTCATGAAATTTTGAATGAATTTAGAACTAGTAAACTGCATCTGAATATCGGAAAAAAAACTGATATATGAAGCATTTATACTTTCAGAGATACTATACATTAAAATTTGTGAAGTAGATTCAAAAATGTACAGAATTTTTTTTCAATTTAAATTTATACGATTATTCGAAATTCCGTCCAGATACTTTTGTTTCAAAATAATGTGATAGTGCTTTGAACACTTCTGTTTTAATATGCAAATAATAGGGGTCGTCGTATTTGTTATTGCTGTCATGTTTAAGGGATGTGATAAAAAAAAAACTGAAAAACTACGATTTTAGAGTGGTCATCACGGCGTTACGTAGTTTTGTCCTTTTGATGCTTTTTTCTCTGTAGATACATATTGATTTCTTCTGTACAATCTTAAATACAATAATTGATTTAGCTTTGACATCTAAAATATAAAAAAAGCCTTATTCCTTATTGATACACGAGCAGGTTTTTCATCGTCTCCACAATTGACTGAAATTTTGTATGCACGTAGAACTTTTTTAATTGCATCTTCGTATAGAAACACTTATTTATGTTACATTTATACTTCCTAAGATACCAATTAAAAATGTATGAAAAAGATCTATAATAAATACAAGTGACGTTACGCTTTTTTGTATGTTTGAGGTTTGTTTTAAAAAATAGTTGATTTCTATCAAAAAAATTAACAGTGAAACACATTTATATAATATTTCTCAAGTGTATTTACCGAAACAAAAGACAATAATCTCGCAATGAACGCATCATAGATTTATAAATTAACCGAAGTCTTCTTTAATTTCAACCGCAAATTTGATGTGACTAGTCTACCATTTAATGGTTGTGGATTTCGATAGTTGTCAATCAGATCCTCTGAACCTTTAAATTGAGTCTTCCCAAGATTATGGAATTGGTCTAACTACAAGAAAAAAAAATAAAACAACAGAATAAAACCAACTGAATAAAATAAATAGATACGCAGTATTACAACAAGTTGGAACTAGAAATAAATTCCTTAAAAGTTGACGAGCCAAATTTATGTGAAAAAACGTCTCGTCCTTTATCTAAAAAAGTTCATTGGAAAATACCAAGACCTTGTTGATACATATTCCGTATCAACTTCATAAATAAAACATGCTGGTCTTGAGGTATAGATTCTAGGTACTGACGTTGTTTATCATTTTAATTACGTGTTAAAGTTTCCCTTTTTTGCCCTTGTATATTTTTAACCTTTACTGATTATACTCATGACGTGGCTCGGTACTTATACATCCCGCCATTGTGTTATTGTGCTATGGTCAATTTTGAATTCTTGTCTTTCATTTTTGCTTATGTACTTTGTCTATATGCCATTTTGTGTTTCTTTGTTGAAACAGGTTTTTTTATGGTGATTAAGATTATATTACAATGTTGACTGCTGTACCCCGATTTTTGACGTTTTTACCTATTATGTCTGTTTGTTTTGCTCACACATTGTTGTCAATATAATGGAATTCAATGCGACTGTCATACAAGTGAGAGGTTTAGTTAGCTATAAAACCAGGTTTAATCCACTATTTTCTGCATAAGGAAATGCCTGTACCAAGTCAGGAACATGACAGTTGTTTTCCATTCGTTAGATGTGTTTGAACTTTGGATTTTGCTATTTCATAGAGGTCTTTCCGTTTTGAATTTCCCTTGGAGTTCGGTATTTTTGTTATTTTACTTTTTTTCGTACTAGCAAAAACACTTCCTAGAAAACAAAGATCATAACGTAATATAAATAATATAAACATAGTCTCAAATCACTATGTTCTTGCGCTTTATTGTCTGTATATATCTATAAATATCAAGGGCTATTACATGTATTTGTAAAAAAATAGTTCCATTTTAAGTTAGGGCTATTCCAGAAAAAAAAATATATATAGGGGGCACTTTAATCATTTTTGTATGGGTGGGGGGCAGGTAACGAAATTCAAATTGTGTGCTAATGTATGCATAGTAAATGCAATTGTATGGGTGACGGCCATAACAGTAAAGTGCCTTCCAATCCCTTTAGTGTTCCTTTCATTTTTATACATGTATCTCACATTTTTCTTTAATTTAAGGTTTCGGTAGTTACCTGATGTTGTGAAATAAAGATGTGATTTACAAATACTGTCCAAATGACGCTCTCGTAACATGGTGGCGTTGTCAGACTACCAGAATATCTGTAATAATGTGTAGTTTGTGGCAATAACTTTGTCAAATTCATTCCTCCTATTATGACATTATCATCTGAAATGAAATAAATATTTTTATAAACATTGTAATGGTAAGATCTACATTTTTTGTGGGGTAACTTGATTAAAAAAACATAAGACAGTCAATATTTTTTTTTTGTTATTTTTTTATTTTTCAAGATGAAACATGTGAAATTACATACTAAAGTATTAGACACAAATTATAAAAAATTAAGTATCACTTGTAAGATCGATCAAATCATATTGGTATAATAAGATATAAATATTACAATTGATTTTGTTAATTAAATGCTGCTTCTAACAATTGCCACTTCTGATCCATTTTTATTTTTTGTGCAGGGGTTAAGAAACATACAGAGTATTTTCTATATTAATCCAATATTTTAAATATTCTATCCCACCATTTTTTGTGGGGAATATATTCTTACATCTACATTTGTATATATAGTATTTAAATAACAACAATATATTATTAACTGTTTTACTGTTGGCAAAATCCTCAGACACACCTAAAATGACTTCTTTTGCACTGAAAGGCAAGATAATGTCATAATTTCTAATCCAGTCTATAATGGATAGCCAGAAATTTTGTGTAACATTACATTCTCAAAAAATGTGAAAAATATTTTCTCTGATATATGAACAAAATATACACAGTTCAGTTTCTTTTAATTTACATTTCAATGAAAATGAATTACATGGTAAAATCCTTTGAACAATCTTTAACTGAAAATTTTGTAAAAGCGAATTTCTGGTTATAATAAAAGGCATGGAGTAAATAGTATTCCAATCTTCGATCTGCATATTTAAATCTATTTCCCATTTATTACGGGAAGATAAAGTTAACACTTTATTATCTTCCAAAAATAATTTATAGAAAAATTTAAAAGATTTTGGTTCTTTTTTAATTTTATCTTCCAATTTATTATCAATATTATCCAATTTAGAGCTTTCTTTTATCATACTTTTCCATCTATTTGAATTTGCACTTATCATACCATAAAACTCTACAAAATTAGTATTGATATTATACTTTTTTTTAAATTCTCCATATGAAAATAATGTATTATTATCTGACACCAGATCATTAATAAAGAATACACAATTTTGAATATATTTAAACTTCAAAATCATCTTGCCACCTATTTTGATGTTTGGGTTCAGCCATATTGACTGGGCTAGAATATCAGCATTGTTTTCAACTTTAAACTTATTTTGCAACTTGGAAAAATTTACCAGAATATCATGCCAAAAGGGATTGACCTTTTTTGCTAAATAAAGCAATCCATCTTGACTGAAGTGTAAAATTTTGTCACCCCATAATTTTTGTATATAACTAAGCAGCAAAACTTTCCAAGGGGAGTAATTTTGTGGGTCTAATAATTTATACAGCCAAGACATTTTTACACTATAGCAAAAATAGTAAATATTAGGCATCTTAAGACCGCCATCACAGTGTTGGGACATTACCACTGTTCTCTTCACTTTATCTGGTTTTCCTTTCAATAAAAGATTGAAAAATATATTCTGTATCTCTTTCAGAACCCCTTCTGGGGGGTTAGGAAGGACAGTCAGAACTTGAACCAACATTGGAAGTGCTAAAGTTTTAATAACTACAACCCTTCCAATATATGTTAGTTCTCTGTAAGCCCAAGTATTGAGCAATGACTTGATACTGTTTATCTTGGCTGTAAAATTACATAGAGTCTTATCCACTTTAGCAAGTTCAAACCATATACCTAATAGTTCGAACCTTCCAGAAAGGTTCCAAACAAGATTTTTGTCTGGCAAAAGTTTTTCCTTACTACCCTTTTTTGACCCAATCTATACGGCTTCAGTTTTGTCAACATTACACCTAAGTCCAGCACATTCTGAAAATTTATCAAACAAATGTAAACATTGTTTTAGGGACTTTCGGTCACCATCCAGGACTATGGACGAATCGTCAGCATATTGACTTAACAAAAATTCAGAGTCATTAATTGTTACACCAGCAACATCAGGGTCATTTTTAATAGCTGCACTGAGAAATTCCAGAATTAAAATAAATAGATAAGGAGACAGAGGATCCCCTTGACGAGCCCCCCTTTTCAATGAAAAAAATTCTGAAATATATCCGTTATTTAACACTGCACTAGAGGCATCACAGTAGCATGCTTTAATCCAACTTATAAATGTATGGTCAAAGCCATAAAACTGCAAAGCCTCTAATATAAAAGACCATTCGACAGTCAATATATTAAACACATTTCAATTGTGTTTTTAATTTGATATGTTGTTTTATATGTATAAATCTATACCTTTCAAATTTAACACTAAGTTTTGTCTTAAGCATGTACCTTGATCCTAATTACTTTTTGACTAGGGATTTCACAAGAAGGTAGTTCATGAAGCTTTTGCTCAGTCACTTCTTTGGGAAATACCATTGAAAGAATAAAAAATAGCGATCCGGGACCACTGCAGCATGAAATATGTACAGTCAACAAGAAAGAATGAGTGTTAAGAATACGTTTTGCCATTAATTTGATTTATCAACATTTGTATCCGAGCTCAGTAGTCAGTACTGACATGATTTATAACTAACCTCTCAAAAATTTTCCAGTTTATAAATGTTAAAATTAAAAAAAAACTAAGGTTTCAACTCCCTCAGGTAAAGTTGACCTTGGATGAATTTGTCTATTTTAAGGTCCTTTTTGGTCAGACAGGTCTTCAACTGTTTCGGTACTAATACATCCTTGGCTTTAAAATATTCAGCTTTGAGCGTTCCTGACGAAGGTAAATCCAGAAAAGCGCTTCAGACGCATGAAGTTAATAACGTGTTGTTTTCAATTTCTCTCAACAATCATTCATTCCGCTTGACAACCCACGCATTTTCATCGAGGTTTTCATGGTTCGATGGTGACACTTTCTACTTCTAGGTACCCGGATGCCAAGGTTGTTGCTACTTGATGAGTACTTTATGTCACCGCTAGGGGAAAATAACGGAAGATAATAAATCTGCTCAGATTCATGGAGATACTAGTATTTGGATGAGCATACATCCAAGAAATGATAGCCAATTTTCCGTTTCAGAATCTAATGCATTCTGGGTAATATTTTCAAAAGCGTACACCAAAAACGTTGTGATTGGTTTAAAATGTACTAAACAATGGAAATCCAACCGATGACATAACGTTTTTTTTTATTTTGGTGTACGAACAATGAGATTACCCATAGTTCTTTAGATTCTGAAAAGGCGAATTAAGAGCAATAACGGTAAGTTCACTTTGCATTTAGTTTTTTTCTATTAAGATTAGTTACCTTTTTTTTATTAACATAAATCGCCTTATATGTATCATCCCTTATTTTTATAATTACTTCTTTATATCAAATAATCAATTGCTATCTTTAATACATATGTGTCGTAAAACAACTTTATTACCCGAAAGGCCAATTTTCATTCGTATTTCAGAAATCGATATTTTTAAATGACATGGCTAGAGTATTTTAGAAATTGATAGTTTTAATTGACATGGCTCGAGTATTTCAGATATTGTTTGTTCATCCAATAATGCTGACAGTTACATCGTTGCGTTTCCGATAATGAATTATCTGTTTGATATTATCATTCACGACAGACGTACACGTCGGTATGCTTCTAATTCTTTAGTTATCATTTATTGTTGGTCTTTTTATATACTTTGGTTTTCTCTTTGCTTCATAGTATCTCCCACTGTCGTGTCTATATGTGTATGGAAAATATATGTGTATAATTACTTCAAACATGGTTAAAGTCTACCTACTTTTGTGTTGATTGTTTCTAAGATAACGTATAATAGATCCAAACTCATCGTGGTTGTCGCCAACCTAAAAGGTTACAAAACGGAATGGTAAATACAAATAACAATTGTGATGGCAAATATTATTGGATTGCAATGTGCCACTGTAGACAAATTTCGAACGAATGGTGATGATTAAGAGAAAAGAAAAAGAAAAATAGTCAAACTATATAGCATAAAATAAATATTAATTAAGGACATGACATTAATTCTTGAATACGATCTAGTATATGTCAAAATGGAGAACTAAATTTAAAGCACATTTCTGCTTTTTCATGTAAATCGTTGAAATTCCGTATTATTTAATTTAACACAACAAAAGGGGATTCTCCTTTCGTACAGGTTTTTGTTAATGGATTTTAAAGAAAATCTGAAACAATATTGAAATATTTCCCATTTTCTAATTCGGGAAACGGTAACTTACGGCTGTAAACTATAGTCTTCGAGATAACTGATAATTAACCTTTGTCCTTTTCACTTACGTCAATTAAAAATCCCAAGACCGCCAATCCCTTTGTGGTATTCATGGCTTCTCTGACACTTTTGAATTTATCAGAATAACACACAACATGCATCTAGAATAGAAATAAATGTATTATATAAATAATTATGCAATAAAGTAAAATAAGGAACAAAAAAAAATTGAAGATATGGATAACGAGCTCACAATATCTCCATTTCTGTAATAGTTCAATAAGTGCAAAGTATTTTCTAAAATAATAAATTATACATGAACCAACGGCCACTACCAAGACATACCAATACATTAGCTTTTTTTTTATTATTATTTTGCATTTGGCACAACATACAAATCGTTTTATTGATAGCGATGATTTTCAAACTCTTTGTCTAAAACACTGCATTTTTTAAAAGTATTTTGCAATGTGACTTTCCTTTCTATTGTCGATTGGGAGATACAAGGATTTTGCTGGTTTTTTTTTCAAGTTTGATTGTGTATAATCTTTTCAACAACAGCGTCAAATTTATCATTTTCCTTAGCTAAATATAATCTATAAATACGTGAAGTAACGATACAATTTCACCCACACACTTATAAAATAGGGGAGGCTTAAGATGTAAGCATGGTTGCAGCTCATTGTTAAAGACAAACTTGTTCTCGTTCAAACTTTTCTAAATATAAAAGAACCTTAAAGCAAATGAAATACCTCCATTGAAGAATGTTTGCCATCTATTTCGTGTTCTGATCCGCGGCTGTTTACTGATCCCCAATGGAAGTGGAATTGTGCTACATTATATGTCCCTGGAAGGCTGCCTCCAGTAATCATTGGTCTTTTGTCGGATATATGGACTACAACTGCAAGATAAATCAATTTATCTTACCTCCTATACATTTCTAGGAATATTATTGGATAAAGCAACCGCGTATAGACCGTGTATATTCAATATAAAGTTAGTAGGCGTGGCTTATTTCAATACACAGTAAGTAGTGGTGTTACGTCCCTTTATAAAAACAATGCGGTGTTGAGGAACAATCTTAAAGGTTTCAACAGACGAAGAAATTGATGATGAACGAACGATTGAAATAAATTCATACAACACATTTAAAGCTAACAAGTTGTTATCGTTGGCATTTGTTTTTGTACCGACCAATGGAAGTAGGTTCTTAATACTAACGGTATTGAAGACTTGATCACTTTGATTTGCCACCAGTCTAAATACCACATGTAAAGATAGTCGGTAAAATAAATTCGTTACATAGTGTGCTAGTGACCTAATACGATATATATATTGGGTCAGTAAATTCCATATGGGGATTCGAGCTTCGCTCTCACCGTATATGGAATTTACTGACCCAATATGTATCGCATTAGGTCACTAGCACACTATGTAACTAATAATATTCTAAGACGGTAATTAAATGGACCCGAATGTAACTATCCCATCCTCCTTAATTCCAAATAAAAAATGATTGAAATCTAAAACTGAATGCTTACAATCTTAATTAAAAATTACTTTGTAGCCTGAAAATGTTTTGTTCTTACATCATATGTCCTCACTTTCCACAACTATGAAAGTATTCTAGTTGGAAAAGCAGTGAATTTACCGTTTTCTTGGCATGTCAAACATAAAGCATGCTGTTCTGACGTCCTATTCTTTTTTGTCAACATAAAGACAATGATCTTAGCATATAATAACAAAATATTACATAAAAAAATTGCTATTAAAATACATAAGCCAAAGAGTTATTAGAGATAAATTATATATTACTTTATAAAAACTAATGTATGTACTGAGACTAAAAATAAAAAACACTATTATATATGGTTAATTTGGGCAGTGTAGCGTTGCATATCGCCATAATTAAACATAAAAAAGTGTTACGCCACCGGACATATTCATAAGATTAACATTAAAAAGACTAGGTACAGGCGTGGTTCAAAAAGCTATCACGTAAATCTGCATATATTGGACATAGCAATAATACATGATTTTCATCTTCAAGTGCATTACAATTAAAACACACCCTTTTTCTATACGTATATTTGCATATCTTTCTGTTTCTTTTCGAAAAGGTGCGACATCGCAACTAAATTAAGACATATCACTCATGAATGTATTTACCACGATGAAAATGGGGTAAGCCAAACTACATGTGTAGCTCGTAAACAACAAAAACTGTTCCGGAGTTTGACACACTGTAATCTTTTTTTAGATTTACCTGAATGTCCGTTATTTTTGAATTTCACCATTACATCGTCAATTCTATTAAGGTCAGTTAAATTGAATAGCTTCAATTTTTTGTTATAAACCACATCTTTTGTTCGAATGTCTATGGGGGACTGTTGTTTGCCTTTGCAGGTTGGATACAAGACTTCCCATCTATTTGGCACTACAAAAGAATAAAACAATATATTAAAAGGAATATTAAGACTTAAATTTAGACGCGTATTAAATGCAATATCACATAAAAATTATTCGATATTACACGAATCTAAAGTATCCACAGTCAAATATATTAGAGGGTACATACCCAGTGTTTTTTATTCCACATTAACTAGAGGTATAGGGATACGGTTGAGATCTCACAAAACATGTTAACCCCTCCGCAATATTGCGACTGTTCCAAGTCAGGAACTTCTAGTATTTGCTTGTTTTGTTTGTTTGTTTTCTATTTTGGTTCATTTGTATGTTTTTGAGTTTCGTGTGGCGTCCGTTTCGCTGACCTGTTTACATTATTGTTTAGGGAAAAACGGAAGCCCGCCTCCGGTTGCGGGATTTTCTTGCTGTGTTGAAGACCCATTGGTGGGCTTGGACTGTTTTCTGCTCTTTGGTCGGGTTGTTGTCTCGTTGACACATTCCCCATTTCCATTCTCAATTTTACAGTAAAATATATTAGAAAGTATGCACATTCAATTATATAAGAGGGTATGCCTATGTTAGAGAGTATGCACAGTCAAATATACATTGTATGTGAATTTATAAGGTAAGTAGTAGATCTATACATAAATCAATCAATCTACTTCATAAACATTTTGTTAATTTTTAAGGTACTCGAACCTTTATATAAACGTATAGTTGCGATTTCAATATACACGACAATATTTTTCATCAGATGTTCCATGACAAATGCTTCAAACGTTTGAGGATATCTATGATGGTCTTGAAGTATAGATTCTAGGTGCTGACGTTGTTTATCATCTTAATTACGTGTTATAGTGTTCTCTTATTTGTCTTTGTAAATTATTAACCTTTACTGTTTATAGATATAAGAAGATGTGGTATGAGTGCCAATGAGACAACTCTCCATCCAAGTCAAAATTTATAAAAGTAAACCATTAATGGTCAAAGTACGGTACTCAACACGGAGCCTTGGCTCACACCGAACAGTAAGCTATAAAGGGCCCCAAAAATTACTAGTGTAAAACCATTCAAACGGGAAAACCAACGGTCTAATCTATATAAAAAACGAGAAAAGAGAAACACCTATGAACCACATCAACAAACGACAACTACTGAACATCAGATTCCTGACTTAGGACATGTGCAAACAATTGCAGCGGGTTTAAACGTTTTAATGGTACCAAACCTTCACCCTTATCTGAACTAATAGTGTAACATCACAACATAGAAAGACAAACTATAAAATATCAATTGAAATTGCTTAACTCAATCAAAAGACATATTAACACCAGTGAACATACACTGAACAAATAAATTTGATCTATGATACAATGTAAATACAAAATAAATAAACTAAGGGAAGAATAATTAAAGTAACATGTTATACAGCTGTGAAATGTTAAACAATATAAGAAAAACAATATGCTAGAACAAAAATATCAGCCATTTGCAATTACTTTAAACACAAGTAAATGAAAATAATTTTGGTGTTAGGTATACGTGTACAGGTCAAATGGTGAAAGAAAATATTTTTACAAAATAAATAGTTTTGATGTTCATAGTACGAAGTGAAAATTTATAGTAATACCAAACACTTATAAAAGCTGGTATATAGACCAGATATAACCCCGAATAACATTAAATAACAAAAAAGCAATACAATTAGTATCAACAGGTCAAATAAACAAGAAAGTACGATTTGAGAGTACTCGCAGTTACTGACAGTTAGTTAAAAGCCAAAAACAATTAATAATAAAAAATCATGCATCAGAGACTAAAATCAACTAAAACACATCCCAGGGATTTAGTATTTTAACGTCATGGACAGTCATAGAAGACATGACTAGTAAGGCCCACTTTGGAATGCAAAGGGAAAATGATGTTACTTTCAGGTTGGATAAGGGCAGAAATTTTGCCTTTCTTCATGTCAACTATGCACCCTCAGAGAATTATTGAAATGGTTCGTTAACGCGTGGCAATCACCCTGTACGAGGCATCTCAATTCCGACAAGACATGGCTGCGTATTTATACATCTCACACAGCCAAACGGAAGAAGATCAGATATAGCCAGGATTTTGATGCCGTGTTGGAGATGCAAAGGGATGACCATATTTCTGAACCCCAGTCAATCCATGGATAAAGACATATTGAAGAAGACTTCAAAGAAAAGAAAACTACAAAATATAATAAAATGAATAACATATATATAACTTCCTTGATAAATATCAAGACATGTCATATCGACATTTCGTCGGGGAAACTTATGCATCAATGAAATTCATTCGAAAGATTAACGAAACTTTTTTCTGGATATCTTACATTAACATATTAACATGGCGAACATTCATGTATATTTGTCATACTCCCGAGCAAGTATAGGCATATTTTCGTGCATATCGAGATTTTGACGGCCGCCATATTATTCTTGAACAAGGAGCCTGATAAAATAAAGATTATTAAAACAATAATGGGAAACGAATAAGTAATCGAATAAACAGTATCAGGAAACAAATAAAAACAGACAATTTTATCACTTACAGAATCCGTGATGATATCCCCATTTGTGTACTGCAAAGAAATTTTCGTACAAATTATTAAAATATTAACTTTTCTTATTTCAAATAAAAATGAATTGAATAATATAGGGACTATATAACAAAAATTTGAATCTAACAACATGAATCTCACTATTTACACATAGATTTAAATCAATCTCAAAACAATCACAGGCTCACACACAGGCTTATAGGTTCCTTAAAGTTATTTCAAACAATGATATTGGTCTTAGGTGTATCTATAAAAAAGGCACAGAAACTGTTAATCAATAAAAAAAGGTTAAAAATTAATTTAATACTGAATACATTTTACATCAAATTTTTACTTACCGAACCCGCTAGTACAATGAATGGCTATCAGCAATGTATATACAACACATGTGTATCCCAGCAACATTTGTATCCTTTAAATGAAAATTATATATATTTATATATATATATATATGTATAAAAGAGAAAACTTAAAGCAAGTGTTTTGTACAATGGTAGTTTAACCGCGTAATTTATTATATAATCACTTGTTAAGCCTCGGAAAACAAATAGCTGCGTATTTTCTTAAAGCCAATTATGCAATTTTACATATATTTTGAAATATCAAAAAAGTAAATAAATGGATTTTAAAAACAAATTCATATTCCTTGCCATAGTAAACCTCTTTATAGCTCTCGACTTACTAGTGATAAGGCTAATCCATTGGTCATTCATATGGAATGCAGTCGGTATTTTTTTAGAACTTGTCAGATAATAGTGAACACAATATTCTTAAATTGTCACACTTTATAAATACTTTCCCTGAGGTAATGACCAAATGAAGTTTCTTCCGATGACAATGTCTTGTGACAAATATTTCATTCCTGTTCAGAACGATCCGATGACAATGACGAGTTTGGGCGTGCATCAAACATTTTAAGACGCATCTTTTAATGTTCGGTTTAATTTACACAGTGGCACACATTCCAGGTAGCTTCAAAAGAACTTACATGTTTGATTCAGAATATAAATTTTTTTTTTTGAAAATAAGAATCAAAGTAATCCTGCTTTAAAGCAGTTACATACGTATCTTCTGGTTAAATCCGAACGAACCCTTGTCGCTTACTTGGAAGTTCTTCCAACAGGATATGTTTGTAGTTATAAAAACACGGGAACTTAGAAAGTACAACGTTAATGGATTATCCAATCGTCACTTGATATGGAAAACAAATGGTCAGCATTATACGACGAAATAACAAGAATATATTTTTACAAACAAGTACAATATCGTGAATGATGAGGTCAGTACAATAAATGTCATGGCTTTTTTCTTCTAGGCTTCACGTGATATATTGTTATTTTTCATCTTTATTTACAAACAACTCACTGTATGTCTATAAAAAGTCTTCGCAGTTTTCATATTGACAACTATTCACATTTTCCTATATCTTAAATTATAAATGGAATGTCAGTAATTGATTAGATTTTTTTTTTAAATAGTGCTGAAATCCATCAATTTATTACGGAATCCCATTTAGGACGTTCCAAAAATATATATTTGAATTCGAAATAACGAATTTAAATCGTTATCACGAATTGAAGAATTCGATATAACAGGTTAAATTCGTATATATTGGATGCGTATGCCTTTTGTTAAATCTTTGATTCAAAGATGAAACACCTAAAAAATACGGATTTCACACCGTTCAAACATTGACATTTTACTATATTGTTTTATTACAACAAGGATTTTGCCTCTTATAGGCGTAGTAGAGTGACATAATATCTGAAAATCGATCTCATCGAACGGAAATTTCCTACTTAAACAGATTTTCCGTACATTATCTACTGTAATTGCTATCAAATTACCATGGACGTTACTCAATGTTTACCTGGAAAACCATTTTGGTTGATTTACTTTAGGTTTCACTGTTGTAATAATCTAAAACGAACTGTTTTCAAAAAGTAAGGGTGAAATGGTCTTCTTCCGATCGGTGTCCTGTAGCCACCCCCCCCCCCCCCCATGCCAATTTTTCCGGTGGGATAACTGGATCGATTCATTTTTTCCACCCGGAAAAATTGGCAACTCCCCCCCCCCCCCCCCCCCATGTAAACTAGAGGGTGGGGGAGAACCAGGATCAGACATATTTTCCCCCCTAGTAACACGAGAAGCTAATGTTTCCCCCCTTGTAATATAACGTCGGCAACGTCAGTAAGAAATTTTATGCATAAAAGAATAGTAACCTTTTTTAATACGTTTATCGTCACCAAACCATCATAGTATTATAATACATTTAATATCATATGATTTATTCTGTTTTATTAAAGTAATTAGCCCTTTCAAGATATTGGCACCAATAAGTAATGTGACTTTGATATACATATACTGTCAGGAACAATGATGAATAATTCTATGAACCTCTTGTTTTCTTATGATATCCCTTTCATTTATAACGTTCCAGCGATCGGAATTAATAGATTATTTTTTGACAGATTTTTTTTTATCCTGCAATCAGCCAACTATTGTATAAATAACAAGTACATAAATAAATTTTTGCTTTATTTGTACTTGTACAAATAAAGTCCCCTGTTATCCCTCTTCCATGTTGAGCAAGCGGTAATGTGGATATTTCTTTTTGCGTACCAGTTCATTTTGGGGTCCTCTTCGCGGTCCGCTTTTAAACTATGTCGATTTCTTTGAAAAATTAGAGACAATGATTAAGATTTTAAATTGAACAACTAAAGTTAAGTGTTGGGTGTAAATTTCAGGATAAAAACAATATATGTACATTGTCGGAAAATATAAAATTTATTTGTACTCGCTGCGAAACAGGAGAAAAGCTCGGTGAGCCTCGCTTTTCGTCCTGTTTCTAAAGCTCATACAAATAAATTTTATATTTTCCGACAATGTACATATATTGTATATATATTGGGTATTACCTCGGGCCATTTCTAAACGAAAAATCTACCCATGTGAAGAGATAAACGTTTCCATCCGATTAGTTTGGGTGGGTTTTTTTTTTTACAAAGTCCATGCTTAATTGTATTTGGCCTGTGATCTTAATGCGACACAACTACTAAGAGTTTTGATAAATCGATGACTTCCTTTTCATTCACATGCTAAAACATTTCATTTTGTATAATAAGGGTAAAACAAAACTGAATGAACATCAAAGCAAAAAGTATGGTGTGAAAACACATAGAATCACCTACAATCTGACACTAAAATATCTTAAACTTAAGCAATAAAAATCCGTCAAGCAATAATTATAAGAGACAACGGGAATATTACCTCGGGCCATTTCTAAACGAAAAATCTACCAATGTGAAGAGATAAACGTTTCCTTCCGATTAGTTTGGGTGGTATTAAGTCCATGCTTAATTGTATTTGGCCTGTGATGTAAATGCGACACAACTACTAAGAGTATTGGTGATATCATACAAGGTTTTGATGTCGCCCTTTTATGCACCAAATTCTGCTTCAGTTGCAAGGTCATTTACATATTCTCTCTTGTCTTTCCAACAGTATTGTTTTACTTCTTTGTTGAGGTTCTGGTGTTTGTTTTGTGCCTCTTTTTTGTGAGCCTTTGTTCTTGCATTATCAACTTTTTTCCTTCATTTTCCTTCTCTCTTTTATGTTATCTCATGTTCCATGTGACATCCAATCTTTATTTTTGTTTGTTTTTCTTCCAAGAACATCTTCACACACTTCCTTGATGATATCTCTACCTGCTTCCCATTCATTATATATTGTCCCGTTTGCATGTTTAATGTTTACTTTGGCAATGACAAGGTGGTGGTCTGAACTGACATCGGCTCCTCTCATAGCTCTACCGTCTTGTAGTGAACTTCTCCATCTATGACTTATCATGATGTGGTCAATCTGATTTTTTGTTTTTCCACCAGGGAATTACCATGTCTCCTTGTGTGTATTCTTATGTGGGAACACAATGCCTTCTATTCTACCTAATTCATCTGTCAACATATTAAAATTTTAAGAGCATATGCGGACTGGTTCATAAGTAATTGCAAAGAAACGACATGAAGTGCAAAATTCTAATCTATCAAGGGTCATAACTCTCGGACGGCAAAAGTTAAAAATCATCAATATCGAACGTGACCTCAATTTTTTCATCAGTAACAACATTTTAGAATTTTAAACACTGAGTGGTTCATGTTAAGTAATTGCAGGGAAACGACATAATGTGTCATTTTTCAATAGTTCAAGGACCATAACTCCTGAACGGTAAAAGTGAAAATAGTCAATATCAAATAACCTCATCATAGATACCAGGACTTGACCTCCATTTGTCATGATGACGAGGGGGGTTTTAACGACCTTGACTATCCATGAAGGTCTTGCACTTGTCATAAGTAATAACTATCATAATTTGAAACCCATAGGTAGAAGTGTTCATAAGTCATTGAACGGAAACGACATAAAGTGCCATTTTCGAATAGATCAAGGTCCATAACTCCTGAAAGATTAAGGTGAAAATCGTCTTTACCGAATTTAACCTCATTCTGTCATTAGTATCAGTATATCAAAATTCTAAGCATTGGTTGAACGGTTCAGAAGTTATTGCACTGAAACTGTTGGGAGCCGCTCGCCAACATTCCGCCCAACGTACTTCACTAATTTAATAACCGTATATTTCCTTCGGAGAACCCGGTTAAAAATCTTCACAAAATACAAATAACGGAAAACAATCAAAATATATCATCCGGTTTATGAGAAGTATTCCATCCTCGAGAGTGATAGTATTGTAGTTCCTGAGGATGACGTCAATACCGTCAATGTTGATGAAAAGAGAATATGGAGCATGGAGAAAGTTCAAATAATTCGACAGATTTAGTAATACACCACATTCAATCGTTGAAAGTAACAGGTACAGACACATATGTAGAAAAAATATGCAAAGCAAGAAATATTTCTAAAGTTTAAATGACCTAACACTTATCAACAAAACCGTTTCAGACAATGTAAAGGAAAATCAAGAATTCCAAAAACTACAATACGCAAAGCGCAAGGGAAAAACGCATGAAAAATCAGTAAATGAAGAAGATCAAGTACTTTTATTCAACTCTCGAAAAGCTTCAAGAAAAGGTTCGAAACTAGAAAAAACATTGAAAGGTCCATATAATGTTTCAGCAATCACACCTAAGAGTGTAGCAACATAAGCTTCATTGAATGGGAACAAAATCGCAACAAAATACAATATAAAAAAAATTGAAGAAATTTATATCAAGAGAAGCACAATCAAGTTGAAACTTGCCCGAAAGTCAGGTTTACCAGAATTGTCAAACGGATGACTTACCAGCGAATAAACCGACGATTATCCGACGCGTATAGTGATGTAGCAAGTAGACGATTTATTCCGATTGATGTTGAATGGCAGAAAAATGTTTTGAATACGTTGCCATGCTCTCTCTC